CATAGTCATAATAAAAAAATTAATGAATAATAAATTCACATATTTAAGATTGATATCTCCAAAGTCTATACTATTTTGTTTTAATTTAAAAAAATATACAAATATGAATTGGTAATTTTTAAAGTCGCAAACCTAATATTAAAGAAATCTGTACCACCTGATATTTTAGATCGCTAATTATAAAATTTAAAAAAACAGGAAAACCAAAAGCACAATTGGAATTTTGGAAATATTTTTAGTTTCGAATATTGTCATTTTTTCTTAAAATTTTCAACGAGTTTTTAGGTGGCAATAAGTTTTTAGGTGGTGAGTGTGTTCCTTATTTTTAGATGGTTTCACATGAATTTTTTGGTTTGCTGATGTATTAACTGCTGATGTACAATCTTTTGTTATTGAGTAGTAGTCAATTCTGCTACCAATAAGCAAAAAAAGTTTTTTTTATAGATTTCATAGTTCTCGTTTGGTTTTTGTTTTGTTAAAAGATATATTGCCATTTTTTGTTTTTTTATTTCTGCAAAAATAAAAAACATATCAAGCTCACATAAAGTGATCTGCTGTTTATGGTGACAAAGCCTTTAAAAAGGCAGTGTCAAAATTGGTTTTCCAAATTTCATTCTGATGATTTTCAACTCAGAAGTAAAAATGATCTCGTTATTAAGTTGAAGTTGATTACAAATGCTTAACAAAGTGCATTACAAAATACCAAATAAATCTACTTGGAACCCTTACCAAGCAACTTTACGATAAATTCTGATATCTACATTGGCAATTACATTGACCACATAACGAAATTAAAAAAGGTAGTTGAAAAAATTGACAAGTCGAAAAAGTGATGTATTCCAACATTGACATCACACATCTTAAAAATTATTGGAGCTTAGTTGGGATATTTTGTCATATCCACAATACAACCCTGATCTCATATCATCTTATTACTTCTTGTTTCGATCTTTAAAATCAAAACTCCTTGATTGATGACTCCTTAAATAATGACCCTTACAAGACTCTTTAAATAAGGATTATGTTAGTGTCAAATATACCTGATTCAGTTTTTTGATAATCAGAAGTAGGTATTAAAGTAGGTATTATTGAACTGTGATAATGATTTTTTTTATATATCTTATTTTTTGAACAGCAATCAGAACCTTACGTCCTATGAGCTGTTGGGCTGAAACTTCTCCTTACTTCATATTTTTTAGATGGTAACCCAATGGTTAATCCATCCATATTTGATGATTTTTTTGTTATTAGTATTAATCTAATAGCACTGACTATTTATTGGTGCAGCAATGCCGGGTGAGGACTGTTTTCACTTGGAAACATATTGCTATCTATATTTTCAAGTGAAAATCGTTGTCACTGCTGCATGACAACAGGCTGAGTGTATGTATAGTTAAATCTTAGTCTACATATTGTAAAAAGTAATAGTACTTTAGAAGTGATAGTATACTATCAGGTACTTTTTATTACCATATGTGAAAGTCATTAAATTATTTCTTCCAAAATTTCTTTTCCGCCCAAAGGGATCCAAACCAAGTGTATCATCAATGATTTCTTTCGATACTTTCTACTCGCGCGTTCTACTACACTTGACTCTGCATAGATCTGTTAAAGACCCGTTTACCAATGTTGCGAAAGAGACCAGAGTAAGAGGAAGAAAATAAAATAAAATCATATAAAATAAAATAAAATAAAATATGAAGACTGATATATGTTGTGTTTGATTTTGTCGCATGCCGAGAAGTGCGTTGCACTCAGCAGCCACACCACCAACATGGGCGCTTGTAGAGTTGTGCAAAAAGTATAAATGTGGAGACTGTGGAGAGTCCTTTTTTATTGTTTTTGTTGATGCGAAATAGATCTGTTTTGTAACAGACAACTAGACAGGACTCACATTAACATCCCGAAGGAGAAGTTTTTGTTTTTACAAAAAAATTCGATTCGCTAATTTTGTTTTCTCGACGTTTCAAGCCATTCTGAATCGATATCGACATTTGGAAACAGTATGTGTGTGTTCGTGTGAACTGATTTTTTGCCGTAAATCACGTTTTCTCAAAAACGGCTGAACCGATTTCAAAATTTAAAAGCCATTCGATTTGTCTAGCGTTTAACAATTATGCGCGACGATCAGCCAAGCCGTTTCTTTGTGAGTGGCAGAAAACACTTATTTATTTAATTATATTATAATCAATATAATATAATAGTCTCAAAGAAAAAAAATTGTAAATCGTAACCAACCTTTACCAGGCCTAGAAAATGAATTGAGGGTTTGCATTAAATACAAGTCAGTGGATCCTTTGATCTGTTTCTAGAAGTAGTTAGAGAAGAAGTAAGCCAATTACTTTTGACAGGTTTCAATTTTCTTGATTTCTTGGCCTCATATGAATTGCCCTGTAGTGCTTTCGAAATAGTACTATGTCATTTTTTCCATTTTATGTCACTTCATCCAAATTGATAAAAATCCATCAAACACTTGAAAATTGCAATAAAATTGTTTGAAATCACTATAGTCCAGTCATTATAGTAAGTTCACCTCGGAATTCGAGATACCCAGATGTAAGTCTATTGCTTGTATATTGACACCCTAAAGTTGTCTCAAAATCTATATATGGTAGGATGTCAATACCACATGTAGGTTTTGAGACAACTTTGGGGTGTCAATATGCAAGTATTTACAGACTTACAGCTAAGTATCTCGAATTCCGAGATTCTTACCTAATTTAAGCTTAAATAACTGGACTACTAGTACTGGCATAAGTTCATTAATTTTTATTGAAATAATTACAGAAAACAACAAATAAGTTCCAACAAAAATTTAATACTGTTCATTGCATTTTTCTCCAGTCAATTATTTTTGTGTTGCTCTTCTTCTTGAAAAAAATACTTCGGTTTTGTAATTGACAATTAAAATTCAGAAAAACCCACACTGTCTTTTATGTACCTAATTAAAATTAGGTGAGAGACTAATCTGTTACTATAATAACTTCTATAAAAGTTTTTTTTTACATTTAACTTTATGTTAGCAATTACAAATGCAATGAGTTATTAGAAATATACTTGGTTTTATAATATAATATTGCCATGATTTTGTCATTCATTCAAAATAGATCGGTTTTGTAACTGATAATTGTTAGGCCAAAGTCATATTGTCTTACTATATGAATATCGTACCAAATAGTATGTACAATAAAAATGTGGTCTTGGATTTTTAATACAGTGTGTTTTTGTTTTTAATTTAAAGTCTGATCTAGTGGAATTCTTATGGAATCTGTAAGTAGAAATTAAGTTTAATTCCTGTGCTTGGATATTTTCACTATTTTAAATTGATTAATAGTAATTATTGTCCCAAGTTGAATCCCAGTTTAAATTTTGTTCTTACATTTTATTTGAGTCTCACTACTCTTATATGTGTTAGCAATTTGCTGTTAAAAAAATTAGAAATTTTAAAATTGTCAAATGTTAATTTTGCAAACGCCATGAGATATTAGAAAATATATTAGAACGTGTATAATCTTAATAAATAATAATAATATTGGCTAAGCTGGCGCCAAAGATTTGGAATGCATATGCACAAATTTGTATAAAATTCAAATAAATTTGTATTATATCGATATGCTTGATATTTTAATACGTTATTATTTTTAGGAATTAATATTGAATTTGTGTCAATTGGAATATTTGAATCGTTACTTAATGAAAATTTAAAAACATAAACCAAATGTTTTAAAATTAACACTCCGTGACAAAAATGGCACTTTTCCCTGAAACTTTTTTTTAAATCTACTAGAATTTTACGTTAATTTGAAATATAGCATCCTTCTGTCTGTAACAGCTCCTGTTTTCGAGTTTTAGGAAACCACCTTCATTGGTAATTTCGGCTATGATTATTTATTTATTTATTTATTTAACTCCAATCGGCTTATACCAAATGGGGAAATTTACATCTACTTTGGAATGAGTTTCGAATCCTTTTCAGACCAAAGAATTTTCTGAAATTATCAAATATAACATGACTTAAGCTTCCGACAAATTGACACGACTTGATCAATCTTATGACAAACAATCAAAGTAGACAAAATCAATTTTCTTACATTGAACATCCGCTAATTTTCTCTTGAAATTCCAAAACAACATCCATGACATTCCTGAATAACTGTTTCCAATATATATTGAAATTCGTCGACTTCTCGACTTATATAGGTGTCAAATGTCATCCACATCTTCATCCAAGGAATAAGTGAAAAAGTAAGAACATTTAAGATAGCGACGAATGCGAAGAGGTCACAGGTGTCAAATAAATTAAATTAAGGAATTTTATGCCGCACAAATATTCCGTAAAAACGCGGAAGTATTTTGCATAGATACTGAAGAAATCAGATGGTAGAAGTTTAGCAAAAATGTATATAAATGGAGAATATTCTGATAAATTGAGACAAATAGTCTATCACCTCTGTACATAATATGCTATCCTAGTTAATTCTTATATGCAGATTTCAAAATCATAATGACTTCTGAAAAAATATAAAAGCATTATAATGAAACAAATAACTCAAAGAATATTTCAACGTATGTGATGAGATGTGAAGAACTGTCTCACTTTCTTTTCTCATAGTCTAGATTAAATACAAGTCTACTACGAGACAATGCTAAAAACGACATTCTATTATTAACACACTTTCGGCGGATAGGATTTCGGGCTAACTTGTACCCGTAGCGGGGTTTTTACAGCGGTGCGAATGCGTAAGCATGGCATGAAAGCACAGTTTTTACTTACAATACTTAACTGCCCACATTCAAACGCAGTAGTAAATACTATAATATTAAGTTATTATGAGGTAAAACTATCAATATGAAGGTAAAATATTTGCAAATAAAGTGAATTTATTACGCAATGATACATATGTTTAGGCAATGAAATGAAAATGTAATTAATTCTAAAAAATTAAAACCAATACACAGAAAAAATTTCTATACGTTTTCTTACGTAATTACTCATAAGTTTAGTCTCTGAAATAAAAAAATTGAATTAATCATATAAAAATCAATTAATCAAATACAAAGAAAAGTTTGCTATAGGTAGGTTTTTTACACGATTATACACTACACATTTACGCAATAAGTTTAGAATTGTAGAAACCATTTGGACTATTCTTTTTGAAGCATTGCAACAAAACTCTTGGCGTCTTCTTCTAAATATTGTCTCTCCTCTTTTAAGTTTCAAATTTTTAAATTCTTCAGGAAGGCCCTTGTTTGTTCTTATAGTCCACAAATCCTAGTTTTATTTGGTAGTAATAATAAACTTGTATTTACACTATTATAAAAATTGTTCCATGTATACATGATGCCACAAATTTAAATAGGTTCTAATATATCTAATATAGTTCTCTGGAAACTATTGCCATTTTCATAGTAAAATTTTAAATTGCATATGTAGCCTGACTTTGCTTCGCAAGCCATTCTAATCAGAATACTATATTTTACTATTTTGCTTAAATGCTTGTTTTAAATTGATAAAATTTTTAATTAAAATTTAAATATAAATTGGAAGATTTATTTAGGTAATAGGAAGTAACAGGTTATTAAATACATTTAATTCCATTGAATTCTTTCAAATAAAACGAAATTGGATAATAAATACGATATCATACATTTTCAAATTACCTCTCCAAGCACATTGAAAAAACATTGCGAAAATTCGCAATGTAAATTAATGAATTAGTTTTATTCAACAGTAAATTAATGAATTAGTTTTATTACTCGCCGGATGATACTGTATTTGATAAAATTACCTGTTGCCAGGTACGTAAATTAGACAAAGTAGTAATTCATTCTCCAATCATGTATAAAGTACCTTTATCACTTATAATCATACTATATACAATCTAGAGTTTACGTTGAAAATTCGATTGTTTTTAATATTATACGAAATTAAATTTTATGGTGTATAAATTAGTGACAAAAACTCAATGTTAATTACATAAATAATAATATGATTTTATAAGCTACGTTCGATTGCTTGTAAAAATGTAATAGCTTATTTTTACATTGTATTTGAAAATTATATTATATTTCCAGTAAACACACAAATATTAATATCTAGTAATAATGCAGATTTATATAAAATTGTATATAGTTTTATAGATAATAGTAAAATTAATGTGTAAATACACAATAATGTAAAATTATAACTGGGTAATGATCGCAAGATCCACAGCCATGTAAAAAATAAATAAAAAAAAAAAAATTAAATTATATGAATTATCGAAAACGCAATAAATACAAAGATAGCAAAATATATAAATGGTAATATAGTATTAAAAGAAATAGTTTGTTTACCAAAAATGCTGACGTAAAACATATCGTCTTAATAAAATACCATATTTATGTAATATATACGTATTTACGTATCGAAAATAATTTTAAAGAATAAATTATAATTTTATATAGTTTATAATAAATATAAAACTAGCGTTGCAACCGCTCATAGTAAGCAATTTCGTTCGATCTTCGCATCTAGCGTGGTCCGACCGAGTACCCGAAAAATACCGCACCCGCAGTGAATGACATCCTAAAAACAGGTACCAGTACCGGCCCTGAGGAAAGTGGGTTAAACTGACGATGAGTCTTCTTCAAAAGATGAGATTTTGACCTTATGGAAAATATTCTCCGGAGGATTGCGTGCGCAAAATGTGTAATCGTAAATTATTAAAATTTATTAGACAGTTTTCAATCGTTATGGAAGGAAATGGTATTGTGGAATCTCTAATGCTACAATTTGGTATTGGCTTATAGACCTGTTCTTGGATGACATTATTATGTTATAACATAACATGTCGCAAATAAGAGTAAGGGACGATTCTGCCGCATAATAGAAAAATGTTATGGCAAGGCCATGTTATGAACAACTCTAAATTCTTACATATATAGTTAAAAACATATTTAACGTTTCTATGGTCTTTCAAGATTTGTGCATTTTTATTTTCTGTTTTTATCTGATAGATATTGAGTAATTAATTTCAAAACTAGTTGGTATTGGGATTTTGTCTTGAGGCAAGTTACATAAACTTTCTGATATGTGTAAATAAACAACTTAATAAATAAAATATAAATTAATTTATGAGTGATTAAAAGTATTCCGAGTTGATTTATTACACATAATTGAAAACGAATGAACACTCTATCGTTATTCCAAGTAAATCGCCTAATTTTAATTTTAAAAACGTTGAAAAACTACTCATTTCTCAAACTTTGATGAATTTTGAAATTCAACTACTTGTCGTAAGGCCGTAAAATTTCAGTAAGTTTTATAGACCAGGATATATATCGCCAAAAAAATCCATGAAAATCGTTCTTAAATTTTTTTTTCAGCGGTTAATTACAAGAAAACGGCTCGGTAGATTTTCACCGAGTTTTGGATTGTTTAAAATCGATTCGGTAGTATGAGCTTAAATGTGGACGAAATATTAACAATTTTTCCAAATTACAAAGAAACGGCTTAGCCGATTGTCGACAAAACTGGCAAACGATCGTCGGGCAAAATTGATAAACGCTAGTCCTTATCGAAATGTATCGAATGGCCATTACATTTTTGAAATCGGTCCAGCCGTTTTTGAGAGAATGTCGATTTATGGCAAAAAATCTATTCACACACACCCACACGCACCTACGATTCAGAATGGCTTGAAACGTCGAGAAAACCTATAATTGGCGAATCGGAATTTTTGATGAAAACATAAATTTCTCCATCGGGAAGTTAATTAACAGTGTCATTTTCTAGAAGGAAAACCCAACCCAATTGGCTTGTACTTTAGTACTACATTCTAATTTAGGTTTTATATTTTACAAAAATGAAATTTTTTATGATTGTGCCTGAATGAATTACTGTTTAAAAAATATTTGGGACTAGTAACTATTATTATAACATATTTATTATAAGCATTTTTTTTTTTTTAAAAGAAAGCTGTATATTAATTGTGAATTTCGAATAGGTAACTTTTCATAAAAAGTGTCTTCTACTGGGTATGGGCCTTGTAAAATTACACTTTAACAAAATAATAAAAACAATAACAGACCAGTTCATTTACGAATACTAATTTTGTTGATATCGTGAAAAACGATAATTTATTCATAATAAAAACATTACTAAAGGTTAAACCACAAAAACGCAGTCCATTTTTTCTCGATCTTGTAATGACGCGTCGAACAAGTTTATCCTGTTCCATTCTCGTTATTTAATGTTCATACATTTTATCGAAAAGAATACGATTTGTTAGGATAGAAAGAGAGCTGGGAGACTTGAGTAATATTTTATAAATTATATATTAAAATATAGTAAAATCAAATAGCATATTTCGACATAACATGTTCGAGGATAGTAACTGTTTCATCTTTAAATTGGTTGCTTAGAATCATATTTTAATTGTTATGGATGAATGCTATAGCATCCACGTCAAGTACTATGCCTCTATTTCACTCAATGTACTTTTACAGGCTAATTACCCAGTAGAAATAAATCGTGGCCAGAGGGGTAAAAAATCGTTGCGCAATATTCAAATCTTGGTTTTAAATGGACCGTACAATATTTGTTTTCAAAGTTATAAAAAATTTGGAAAATTCATGGGAGAACTGTTTTATATGGTTTATTACAAATAAAAAATATGTTTTTCATCTGATTTACACGTCTAATTTTATATTTACACGAATTATACATAATTTTTTGGTGGGCGATCAAGATTCCAAAAAATCAAATATTTTTTATCATAGAGTTAAATGCCGTTTTTCTATATAAATTAAATAATATTTTTAAATACGGTTTATATAATATTTTGAATTTGTGGTTAAAATTGTTTATTTATATTGAGCTCATATTAGTTCGCCGAACTTTAGTTTGTATTATACAAATTACTTTTTTATTCGAATTATTTTTCTCCATCAGATCTCCGTCTTAAAGTTGGAGAAGGTAACGCTATCAAAAATCGTATAATAATGATTTTGATTCTTTTTCCTTTTAAAAAATATGTAAATTTTCTTCAACTATCAACTTTCACATTTATATGCGTCAGTACAAGGTGGTATTATTCTGGTACAAATTGATGGAATTAAGATTTTTATTAAACAAAATTGTTTGAAAACATTGCAAACAAGTATAGAATGATTTTGTAAATTAACAATATATTGACATACAATTTTAGCTTATTCAAAATTCATTTACATGTGGGAACAAAATTAATTTTAACTCTGTTTAATAAACTTCATTAAACTGTTTAATAAATTTCAATCTAAATAAAAATTTCTCACACAAATTACCATCTACGGTTATGCTAACAAAAATATTTGACGACGGAAAATTTTATTAAAATATTCTCTTGTAGATGAGTCATTTAGATTTTATGACAATTTTATTAACTCAATTCCCTGTTTTGGGAACCATGAAATCTGATTAAAACATAGAATATTACTATAAAAAAACAGTTACTTCTATTTATCATTTTTACCGGGGATATGTGTTAACACATGTCATAGTAACAATTTAAAACTAGTGGGGTGGGTGGCATCGTGCCTTAAGGCAAATTGCTGGAACTTCCCGTACCATAATGAAGTGTTCGAGGAATACTGAATGTTTTCAAATAGATTATTATAAATATTGTAACGTTGTCTAATATTTATAAGAATTATATAAACTGAATTGCTAAGTTGAAATTATTTGTTTAAAGTATATTAGAACTATAGTCAGAATTCAAAATAAAATCTGAATTATTTTCGATATACAAAAAATTAAAAAAAAAAAAAATTGAAACAATTTTTTTTTCCAAAATCAATTATTTTGTTAAGACAAGCAGAAAGTTCTTTGAATCATTTAAATCGGACGCTTAGTTCTCTCAAAAACTGCCATTTTTTACATATTTAGCTCCGTATCTTTTAAATGGCTGGGCCTGCCTTTGCCAAAAACTAATAAACACTTCTTCCAATCATTACTAATTGAATGTTTTTTAGATCATTCAAATCGG